ACACACACACACACATACACACACACACACACACACACACACACACACACACACACACACACACACACACACACACACACACACACACACACACACACACACACACACACACACATTCATGTAGAGATATAATTAATTAAACCAATTTAATCCAATATTTCAATCTTAAATGGTTTTAAATTGAATACATGGTAATATAATAAGCTTTTCTTATAGTACAAAATGATTTTATTGAACAGTGTTTGGGTTTTTACCATTCTTTAAGGAACATTAGTAATTTCACATTACATGTTACTGTATCTCCTAAAGACTTCCTTGTACTTTAGCCTCCTGCCTGAGTAGAAAATCCTGTCACTGTCAGTCTCTTGTGTTTTTATTGACTGTCTCGGGGTCCCTGCGATCATTACTGTCAATAACGACAAGCATCACTTCACTTCTACTGATCGATTTGACTTTGGGCTTTAAAATAATTGCCCTTTTTTGCATACGAATGAAGGGATGCCAGTTGACTAATTATACTTGGTGATGCATATCTCAAGTTGGTAGCAGGCTATACTGCTACCTGTTTTATAGTTGTTATCAAACCAGAGTAATACTTTGACTTTAATGCTATAGTAACTACTCTCTTAGCCAAATATAAATGTTTCATTGATTAAACACATTATTCTGTATATAAAAATACAACTTTTAGTTTGTTTAGATTTATAATTTCTACATTTTTCCATTTGATTTTAAACCAAATGACATACGACTGCTATCTGTTTAACAATGAAAGCCTGGCTGAACTCTGTTCTTGCTCTGGACATTTCAAACACAACAGAATGACTTAAGAGGGAAACGACTCGATGGATTAAACTCGTATGCTGTTGTGAGACTCTTAAGTAGTTGAGTAAAAGTAAACTGAATGAACTGACTCACTACTGTAAACTACTGCCAGTGATGCTCAATGATGATGATGGGACTGTTTTTTTAATTTGTGTGTGTGTGCGTTTGTTCCTTTTGTGTGCTAAACGTGAAGCTAAAAGCAATTGAACTGTGAGATATGTTGCCTCTAAATATTGAAGTTTATTTTAAATGACATGCAATAAAACACTAAAGCACAGAAAAGATGAAGTTGAAAAGAATGCACAGATATTAGACGATAACAAATTATTATTTTTAAAATAAGTAATTTTCAGACTAAATTAGCTTGACTTTTGGTTTGAATGTCTTTTTATTTTCAGGTTTGGAAGCCCGTCAGGTCTGCACAGATGTGGGGTAAACACTGCATAATTTAACATCAAATCTTAGCGTACGTGCATTTCATGCATAAGTCTCATTGATTAAAAAAAATCTAATTGGGTTGTCTTGGGCACCAGACAACTTTTTATCTGCCTCTCATTATTCTTCCATTTCTCTCAGTCCATTATTATTCGATTGTCAGCTCCCAGTTGTGGTCCAGTTGCTGTGGTCCTCCCCTCTGCAGCATGCTCAAGGGATCTAAAGCTAGTCATTTTAATAATATACACATAAATAATAGATATGTTTTAAATGCTAATTCCAAAAGGGAGTTAGGGGGCGGGGACGGGGTGACTCAATCATGCAGCACTTGCGGTTTGACCTTAGCACCGGCTAACAAATTACTGGACGCTCAGTGTTTCTCATTTGGTCCTCTACGCATCATCACACTGCCAAGTTAGCCCTCAGCCTTAACCACAGCTCCTGTATGCCAAAGGCAAATGCTTCCATTTATTTATTGTTTTAAAATAATTTACCTTTAAGTTTGATGTTCTTTAGCACTTTGCCCAAATAATGCTTGGTTTTAATGTGAGCGGACTAGCTCTAAAGATGAAAAGGCCATTATTCACATTATTGTCGACGTCTTTCAAAATCCATCACCAGGAGCATCCTTGCTGGTAACAGAGCAGAATATAGAGTGACCAATGAGGGTTTTATTGATGTTCTGTCTCTTCATTTGCATAATGTTCCCCTAATTGCCCATGACACATGCATATTTAGAGTACTCTGCAATAAACACAGGTGGTTATACAGGTAGAAACACCAGCTCATTCAATGCAGCTTAAAGTCCTGAACTCAACAATTTTAGTCAGGAAAAATAAGAATGTCTTATTGGGAAAAAATGTACTTGCATGATTAAATGATAAAATACAAACGGCAAAGCAGATCTGTAGGGGAAGCTGGCTTATTATTCAGGCTGTATCTAAGTATTTATTTATTTATTATTTGGGCTGATTTTTAAGCTTCCAGAAGATAAAAATCTGACTGAGCAGGTAAACATTTTGGACATTGATATATTTTTCTTTCTAAAATTGGGTGAGAAATTCCTGCAGTTTTTTTTATTGTTAAGGCAACATTTGTGGTCTCCATGCTGTAGTAAACCTTGGTCCTGGGATCACTACTTTTAGAGTTTACGTACTCTTATTTGAAAAACATTTATTCATCCAGACAATAAGCAGAAACTCCAACAAGAACGCCCTTTGTCATGTCTTGCCGCTAAGTGGCAATAATCTCTGCATTACTGAGACTTTAACGAAGAGTGTTTTGAGTATTGCCAAAATTTCTACCCAAAAAATTGCCGCTCAGTTTTTTTTTTTCCCAGACAGTTTACTATTTCATCTAAAACCCTATTCGCACAGGATTAATTTTACCTAGGGATCACATGCTATTTGTAATAATTACGGAGATTGTCTGTGTTGTTAATCCTGTGCGAATCGGCCATGTCAGTATTTTGTACAGCAAAAATTCCCCCACAAATTACCTACTATATTTTGCTGAACTCCGAGGTCCTGTGATAATACTAATCCAATGTGAATAGGCATCTCTGTGATTTGGACAAAAATGGGCGATCCGATACGTAATGAGGCGTTTTTTGTTTAAGCAAAATGATTTGAAAAAATATAGAACAAGGCTATTTTAAATGAACGCGCTGCTCGCTTCGGCTTTTATGCTGCTGCTTCCTTCACCACAAATGACAGCAGATGTGGAGAGGTGCGCGTGATCAGCTGACCCATCCATCCATCCATTTTATTTACCCGCTTCTTCCTTTTAGGGTAGCGGGAGTTGTTGGTGCCCATGTCCAGCAAACACTGTGCGAGAGACTGGGGACACCCTGGACAGGTCACAAGTCTATTTCAACTGGCGGGTCAGCGGACGCTCATGCGCACGACCGGTGACAGGTTGTCCATCTGAGCTTAATGTGCCTTTTTACCTCTTAAACTGGCCGGTCAGACCTACCTCCTCCTCAACAAGTAAATAAACACAATTTTATATTGTGCATTTTTTAGTTTTCTTTGTGCTGATTCATAAAACCACATCAAAGCCTCAGACCATCCAGAACTGCACATTAAGCGCATTATTATGGACCGGCCCAGTCGTGACAACGCAGCGCGTTAACATCATAACTGGAAGATGTCCTTAAATTTCAGCTATATCTCAGTCTTTGGTAATCCGTGCGAATGCGCCACATAAAAAGCAGACGTTGGGAAGTAATTTATTTATTACATGTGGTCCTTGGGTAAAACTAATCCCGTGTGAATAGGGCTTTAGTCAGTATTTCAGCACATGATTGCAGTTTAATGGCCAAAGTGTGTGGTCACAGAACTTGTGAATAAGAGAACACAAACAGTATCTCAGTTGTTTTTTTTTTTTTTTTTTTAATACTATTTTCTTTCACTTGTTCTTCTCAATTTGTATGCTTTCTTTTATGATTGTCTACTGTTGTCTTTGTTGTCCGCTGTTGTCATCACACTTTGTTAAAATCAGCTCTCTCTTGTAACTGAGTCCCCAAGGCTCAATGGGATTAACCTAGTGCTGGGTGGTATGACCCAAATTTTATATCACGGTATTTTCAACAATTATACCAGTATCATGGTATTCTACAGTATTTTTCTTTTCATCCCAGCTCAGCTGTTGTTAAAATGTACAAATGCTGCTTATTGAACTGTGGTCAGCTGAAGTTACTCTCTTTCTGCAACACAGAAACTATTTCTTAACTTTGTTCTTTTACTGTACCTCTCTCTGTGGCACTGTTTCCCTGCTCCATCTTTCCTTCCTTTACTGGTTCTAGTCGCACATTCTGGGCTCTTGTCACGTTAGCAGTGAGGGGAGGCAGGTCCAGTTGTGAGTGAGGAGGGTTGAGCAAGGATCATTTTCGGGCAAATTTACTTTGTGCATAAAATCTATCCGTATGTGTCACTGAAGAGTTCTAGTCTACATTCAGCGATTGCGAAAACGGGAGATTTTTGTGTTTTGTCAGTCAATATAAGCAGTGAAATCGCCACCCACTGCCAGTTATTGAGAAGGCTGCTCAGACAATGACACTAGATTGCTGCTACTTCCTCCTGCATGCACGTTCAGCGGTGCTGCACAGAAAAGTGTCCCCCATGAAACAGTTTACTGGCAGATGTGATGTAACGTTCTGAACGTGTTCAGGCTATTTTAACCAGCATGTCTGTATTCGGAAAATTAATATCATAACAAAAATAAAAAAAAACAGTTTTGGGTACAAACTAGGAGTTGAACGAGTATATAATTTTTAAACTCGACATTAACATAATAAAACCCGAGTAGAACTTGAGTATTTGATGA